GAAGTTTTGCAGTTCTACCACCTTGTGTGCAAAAATGCATTTCCAAACATCGAGGCAATAGTGCAAAGTAATGGTGCGGGCAGTGATAACCAGTGTGTGACAAGAAGAGATTAATTTACAAAAATATGACAGCAAATAAGGGCAGAATCAGGAAAAATGATAAAACACAGAATTAAAGGCTCATTATCTGAATACATGTAGCATTCAGATGGATGAATTGACAGTATGGACAGAAATAAATGAGAACGGCCATCAGCCATTACAGAGGCATGGTGCAAAGTGATGAACTTGCAAACTAGGTGCAAGGAAAGGCCAATTGGGCCTTCAAGCCTGCTCTACCATTCAACAAGATCTGATTGCAGCCTCAACTCCGCATTTTGCCTTTCCTGGTTGATTCTCAACTAAAAAGGAAGTCAGAGCTTATTTACCTCTGCCTTAAAAATATTCAATGACTTCAAGTCTACCATTCTCGAAGAAAGTAAGTTCCAAAGACTCATGCACACAGCCCTTAGAGAAACTATTCTGTCTGAGCTGTGTGACAAGGGAGAACCCTAATTTTTAAACTGTACCTCCTGGTTCTAGTCTCTTCCACAAGGGGAAGTTTCCTTTTAGCATTCGTACTGTCAGGATCTGAGATGGCTCAGTAAAATCTCTTTTTCTTCAAACTTCAATGGATACAGATCCATCCTCATAACATTTCCTCATAATATAACCACCCAGCCCTCCATCCCAGATTATAGTTTCAGTAAAACTTCCTTGAATGGATTCTAATGCTTTGATATCCTCTTTTAAAGAAGGAGATCAAACAGTACACTGTACTTCATGCATGGTCCCACAAATGCTACATACAACTGTCGCAATACATCCCAATCATTATATACCACATCCTTTGCAATAAATGACCACATCCCACTTGCTATCACTTGCTCCACCTGCAGGGTAACTTTTTGCGATGGTTTCTGGGGTGGCATGGTAGCTCAGTGGTTCACACTGCTGCTTCACAGCACCAGGGACCCAGGTTCAATTCCACTCTTGGGTGACTAGCTGTGTGGAGTTTGCACATTCGCTGCTTGGGTTTTCTCCCACACTCCAAGGATGTGCAGGCTACATGGACTGGCCATATTAAATTGCCTGTAGTGTCCAGCAATGTGTAGGTTAGGTGGGTGAGCCATGGGGAATGCAGGATTACAGGGATTGAGTGGGATGCTCTTCAGACGGTCGGTGTGGACTTGATAGGCCAAGCGGTTCTGCAACAGAGTTCTGCAATACATTTTCATTTAAATGATTTGCTTCCTTTCTATTCTTCCTGCTAAAGTGTACAAATTCACAAACTCCCAAGTTATATGCTGAATGGTTTTAAGGCAGAAGTAGATAGAATCTCAGAAAGCAAGGAGGTACAAGATTATTGGGATAGGCAGGAATGTGGAATAATCAGATTAGGAGCACAGTGGTGCACCAGGGACCCAGGTTTGATTCTACCCTCGGGTGACTGCCTGTGTGGAGTTTGCACATTCTCCCCATGTCTGTGTGGGTTTCCTCCCACAGTCCAAAGATGTGCAGGCTAGATGGATTGGCCAGGCTAAATTGCCCATTGTGTTCAGGGGTGTGTGGGTTATAGGGGGATGAGTCTGGGTGGGATGCTCCAAGGGTCGGTGTGGACTTGTTGGGCCGAAGGGCCTGTTTCCACACAGTAGGGATTCTAAAAAAAAAATTCTAGCCACAATCTTATTGAATTGGAAGGCCTAAGTGGCCTGTTACTGCTCCGAGATCATATGTAAATACTCCACCCTTTAAAAGGGATTGATAAATGGGATTGATAAAGTACAGGCAGAGCGGATGTTTTGCCTTTTGAGGCAATCTGGTATGAGAGGACCGTAACTTCCCCCCCTCGGTGGTCGAGAACGCCCTCAACCGTGTCTCCCACATCTCCCGCACCTCATCCCTCACACCCCGTCCACGCAATAAGAACCAAAAAAGAATCCCCCTCGTCCTCACGTACCACCCCACCAACCTCCGGATCCAACGCATCATCCTCCGACACTTCCGCCATCTGCAATCCAACCCCATCACCAAAGACATCTTTCACTCCCCACCCTTATCTGCTTTCCGGAGGGACAACTCTCTCCGTGACTCCCTTGTCCGCTCCACAGTCCCCTCCAGCTCCACCACACCCGGCACTTTTCCCTGCAACCGCAGGAAGTGCTACACCTGCCCCCATACCTCCTCCCTCACCCCCATCCCAGGCCCCAAGAAGACTTTCCACATCAAGCAGATGTTCACCTGCACATCTGCCAATGTGGTATACTGCATCCGCTGTACCCGGTGTGGCTTCCTGTACATCGGGGAAGCCAAGCGGAGGCTCGGGGACCGCTTTGCAGAACACCTACGCTCGGTTCGCAATAAACAACTGCACCTCCCAGTTGCGAACCATTTCAACTCCCCCTCCCATTCCTCAGACGACATGTCCATTCTGGGCCTCCTGCAGTGCCACAACGATGCCACCCGAAGGTTGCAGGAACAGCAACTCATATTCCGCTTGGGAACCCTGCAGCCCAATGGTATCAATGTGGATTTCACAAGTTTCAAAATCTCCCCTCCCACCACCGCATCCCAAAACCAGTCCAGCACGTCCCTGCCTCCCTAACCTGTTCTTCCTCCCACCTATCCCCTCCTCCCACCTCAAGCCGCACCTCCATCTCCTACCGACCAACCTCATCCCGCCCCCTTGACCTGTCCGTCCTCCCTGGACTGACCTAGTCCCTTCCTAACTCCCTACCTACACTCACCTTTACTGGCTCCATCCCCGCCTCTTCGACCTGTTTGTTTCCTCTCCACCTATCCTCTCCTCTATCCCTCTTCTATCCGCCTCCCACTCTCTCCCTATTTATTTCAGAACCCCCTTCCCCTCCCCCTTTTCTGATGAAGGGTCTAGGCCCGAAACATCAGCCCCTCTGCTCCTATGATGCTGCTTGGCCTGCTGTGTTCATCCAGCCCTGCACCTTGTTGTCTCGGATTCTCCAGCATCTGCAGTTCCTACTATCTCTGGTATGAGAGGTCATAGTTTTAGGATAAGGGATGGCAGATTTAAAACAGAGATGAGAAGAAAATACTTCTCTCAAAGGGCTATAAATTCGTGGAGCTCAGTACCCTAGAGTATGGTGGATGCCAGGACATTGTGTAAATTTATGGAGGAGATAGATTTTTAATTAATAACAGGTTAAAAGGTTACAGGGAGCAGGTGGGGAAATGGATTTGAGGCCGTGATGAGATAAACCATGATCATATAAAATGACAGAGCAGGCTCGAAGGGCTGAAAGGCTGCTCCTAATTCCTATGATCTTAAACTTCACCTTTAAATGGCCTGCCTCTGATTCCAAGGGAAGCCCTCTTGCTCTAGCCTCCCTCACCACTGAAAATAAAGTATCCTCATTTACGCTGTCAATTTTTTTTTCAAAACCCCAAAATCATTGATCAGCTCACTCCGCAGTCTTCAATATTCTGGAGAGTACAAGTCTAATTTATGTCACCATTACTCTCAAGGTAACTCTCAAAGTCCTTGTGACTCTCTGGTGGATCTGGATTGCATTCTTTCCGAAGCTTTTCTAAGGTGCAATTCACATTATTATTCAATGTGCTGCAGATCTCGGTCTAATCAGCAGTTTGATGTCGTAACATTTCCTCTCTTTCTATATTCTAGCCCTTTAGTTGGAAAATTTAACATTCCATTCGACTTTTTAATATTTTTTTACAAATGACTGCAACATCTGAATGGTTGATGTACATGGGCTCCCAGTAAGTTTCTTTGAACTTCCACTCTTCCTAGCTTTTAACTATCCAAAAACTAATTATTCAGAGCTACACTTTTGCAGTTCAAAATCGATGGCTTCACACCCATGAAATCCATCTCCCACAATTTTACCCATTCTTAATCTATCAATACCTCTTCATCACTTTGCACTCCTACTTACATTGATTCTATGCCACGAATCTTTGTCATTAGCAAATTTAGAAAAATCGTTCTCTTCCAGTGATGAATTAGAGAACTCCTCACAAAAACAACAAAGTGTGTTTATTTAGTTTGTAAAGTCCTCTGCTCCAGCCAGAGCCTCACATCCAGCCATTATGTGCCATATACTGGGATAATATTTCAGACAGGCTCTTCATTGTAATACCACAATACATGAATACTAATGGTGCAACACTGTCAAAATTTTCGACAATCATTCCCTTTGGAATATCGATCAGCCAGCTCTGTTTTCCCACTATTATATGTTTCATTTCACAGCATGTTTTTTCCGTAGAAGGAGGTCTTTCAGCCCATCGGGTCTGTGTCAGCTCTTTGAAAGGAATATTCAATTTGTCCCATTCCCATGCTCTTTCAGCCCAGCCTTGCAATTTCTTTTACTCTTTTGCAAAGATCCATCCAATTCCCTTTGTAAAAGATCAACTGAATCTGTTCCTATCAGCCATTCAAACAATGTTTTCTAGGTTATTAGGAAAATCTCTGCTTGATCTGCCACCTTGAAGAACAGCACGATAAACATCTTTGGCTGGAGTCAATCCTACTGAAGACAAGAGCTTTCAGTCACATTGCTCTGCCAGCAGAAAACCAACTTGTTCATGTTTGTTCTGACAAAAATGTTTCTTTGTTTTGAGCACGTCAAATCTCTCATCAAACGTCTCTGCTCTGAAGAGAACAATCAGGATTCACTAGTTCATGTAACTGAAGTCCCATATTTCTGGTAGCATTCAATAAGTCCCTCTCTCCTTTCCCTGATGTGTCCACAAAACTTGACATAACACTAGTGGAATCTTAGCCAGTGCTTTAGAACGGGTCAGCTTCACTTTCTACCTTTGTAATCCATTCCTGCTGAAACGATTTTTCTTACAGTAATGAAAAGCTGGTCAGGCTTATTCCAAACATGAATTGAATCTATGCAGTTAGTGTCAAGCTAAAAGGAGCTCATTGTTCACGCTCTCTGTAAATCAATGGGTCTTACCTGTCATGTTTTGCAAACCCAATTGCCTCAATCCAAAGGCCCCATCTTTCTTGTAGTTAAGCAGGATCGTGAGTGCGTATCGTTCTTCGTACAACTTTGTCCCACGAATAATTCTTAGATTTTCCAAAGGCAGATACTCAAACTGGTTCAGGGCTGCAAGGATATATCCTGTGACTTCTCGAATGGACTGGAGGTTTAAACAGAACACACAGAGAGGTGAAGTCAGAAAATCAGCAATCAGAACCTCCAATCTTTGCAACTATAAGCTTAGTTGAAGCAGTAATGGGCTATAAGGAGAGAAAGTACGCAGATTCAGCCAGCCTCTCACCATGAAAAGTAAAAGGCAGTCCCAACTTCAAAAGTACAAAGTACATTTGATTGTAATCAGCCTAAGTGGTATTAAGGACCCTGCAGAAGGGGCACTGAATTTGGGAAGGTGAAATGAATGAAGATCTTCCCTGTAAAATTTATATGATGTTTCAGCTGAACCATACAGAACTGGATTCAACTGGTTTCTGAAGAAGGGTCTAGACCCGAAACGTCAGCTTTCCTGCTCCTCTGATGCTGCTTGGCCTGCTGTGTTCATCCAGCTCTTCACCTTTTTGTCTTGGATTCAACATCTGCTCTGTAGGACAGGAGATGGTTGCATAGGAGATGTCATAGGCTAGGAAATAGTGGCGGGGCGGGGGTGGGGGGGCGCAGTTGGAGGGAGGTTGAAATGAATGTGCGTGTAGAGGGTTTCATGGAGATCTATACAGCAACACAGTGCCTTGACAAAAAGAGAGAAACAGGGGAAAGGAGGGGAGGAGAGGAAAAGAGAAAGCAAGAGAAGGTACGTGTAAGAGAACAGAACAGAGTGTTGAAAAGAAAAGGAAATATATTTAATTGGATGAGCCATATAAATATTGTAGCTTCAAGAGCAGATAAGAGGCTTGGAATTCTGTAGTGAATTCTCACCTCCAGACTACCCAGAGTGCACCCACCGTCTACAAGGCACAAGTCAAGAGTGCAATGGAATATTCCCCACTTGGCTGGATGGGTGCAGCTCCAACAACACTCAAGAAGCTTGACACCAACCTGGACAAAGCAGCCCAACTGAACTGCACCCTATCTTCCATTTTAAGATTTCACTTCCACTCCACTCAGACACATTGGCAGCAGTGTGTGCCACCTACAAGATGCACTGCAGAAATTCACCTCCTCAACAGCACCTTCTAAATCATGACCTGTACCAGCAAGAAGGACAAGGGCAGTAAATGCATGGAAATATCACTACCTGCACTTTGCCCTCCAAGCCACTTACAATCCTGATTTGGAACAGTATCACCATTCTTTCATTCTCATTCGGTCAATGTCCTGGAACTCCCTTCCTAAGGTCTACCTACAGAACATGGACTGCAGTGGTTCAAAAAGGCAGCTCATCACCACCTTCTCAAGACCAGATCAGAATGGCTTTTCCAGTGGCATTCACATCCAATTAAATAGAAAAAAAAGGCATGTAACATATGGAAACACTTCAGTGCAATTTATTTCTAAATGTAGATGTGACGTTGATTTGATTGGGCAGGGTTGGGGGAGGATGGGTACATGAATTTCTCCAGATCTGTGTCCCAGTTACAAGGATCAACCTGGCAGCCATGTGCATTAACAATGAACTACAATGCCACGGTGCCAGGTTCAGCCACTGGGGGAGTGCTTCCACAACTGGCTGCTTTCTCCTTTCAGTAACCATAACAGAGCAGCATAGGCAACCTTTACCTACTGACTGCCTTAAGGTGTTGCCACGTTCAAGTGATAGATCGTAAACCTGAACGTCTCAATATGCCTCCTGCAGTCAGATACACAGATTTTTCTATTGTTAGAGAAATGTAAATTCAGCGCACAGGAGAGAGTTGAAGAAGCTGGATTTGGACTATTTCAGTCAACTGACCGGATTTAATCTCTAGCCTCATCAACGTGATACAAATGAGGTGTGTCTTTTCTGTTGATACCCAAACTAGCAGGAAGGAGAGGAAAGCATGAGTTTACAATAATAAATCAAGTGCCTTTCCTGCTTTAAAAAAAAAGCATAAACTACTTTCATGCTAAAGCTATTCTGCAGAAATTTATCCTTGGGCTAAATTAGGTGATTACTATGGTTCTATGGTTTTAAAACAAATCTAGGCCTGTTGAGTTGTAATTGCCTAATTGAAGAATGGGATCAATGCCAATTATATCTCAATTATAAAAAATAAAAGCTTATGAAATGGCTTAAATGAAGAAAGAACTTGCATTTATATGACATCTTCCATGCACACGTGTTTGGTCACCATAACAATGTTGGAAACATGGAAGACAACTTGTGCACAGCAAGCTCCCACAAACTCTGTTGTGATAGTGGGAAGCTATTCAATACTGCGCTGCAGTGTCAGCTGACAGTTTGCATGCATTGTTAGAGTGGAATGAGAACTCACAAGCTTCCCACCCAGAGGCCAGAACAAAACAACTATGGTCATGTGTCAAAAATAGGGACAAGCTTTTAGTGTAGGTGGAAACAACAGACATTTTTCTTGTGCTGAATGTCAGCCGTGGTTATGGAATGGCTGGATTTATTTTGTTACACCTGTAAGTCTCAGCAGAACAAATATCATGGATTTGATAATAATCAAATTGATTTACAGAAAGCTTTCTCATACCGATTGCTCCAATTAGTCTATCTATCTCCAGTGTTCACAGGCAGTCTACATTGTCACCTGTCAAATGTGCCTGCAAAATACCTAACAATCACATTTCTGGTAAAAAGTGAAGGACAGGACAGGAAACAGACTCTTCAGTTTTGAAAGGAAACAATGAGACCATAAGACATACAAACTGAAGTAGGCCATTTAGCCCATCAAGTCCGCTCCACCATTCAATGAGATCGTGGCTGATCTAATAATCCTCAACTCCACTTTCCTATCTTTTCCACAGAACCGTTACTGTCTCAGCCTTGAACATATTTAATGACCCAGCCTCTACAGCCCTCTGTGGTAAGGAATTCCACAGATTCAATGCCCTCAGAGAAGAAATTTCTCCTCACCTCTGTCCTAACTGTGTGGGTAGCCCCACATTCTGAGATTGTGCCCTTTGGTCCCAGATTCTCCCACAAGAGGAAACAACCTTTCCACATCGATCTTGTCAAGTTCCCTTTCAATGAGAATTCATTCTTCTCAATTCCAATTAGCACAGACCCAATCTACTCAGTGCTTGGACCCCAGCTTTTCACAAAATAAGTTAACAATTTAGATGCAGGAAATAAATGTAATATCTCCATGTATGCAGATGACACAAAACTGGATGGGAGAGTGATAGAATCCCTACAGTGTGGAAACAGGTCCTTTGGCCCAACAAGTCCACACCAATCCTCAGAGCACCCACCCAAACCTGTCCCCCTATAATCTACCTAACATACAAATCCCTGAACACTACAGGCAAATTAGCATGACCAATCCACCTAGGCTGCACATCTTTGGACTGTGGGAGGAAACTGGAGCACCTGGAGGAAATCCACACTGACACAGACACAGACACAGACAGTCACCCAAGGGTGTAAATTGAACCCAGATCCCTGGTGCTGTGAGGCAGCAGTGCTAACCACTGTGCTACCATGCCACCCCTAATCTGTGATCTGTGATCTGTGATCTGTAAGGAGGATGTTAAAATGCTTCAACATGATTTGGACAAGTTGTGCGAGTGGACAATTGCATTGTAAATGTAGTTATAATGTGGATAAATGTAAGATTTTCCACTTCAGTAGCAAAAACAGGAAGGCAGATTATTATCTGAATGGCAATAAATTGAGATACAGAGAGGTGCAATGAGACCTGGGTATCCTTGAACACCAACTGAATTGAATTGAATTGAATGATTTATTGTCACTTGTATTTAACAAATAATTACAGTGAAAAGTATAATATGTCGCCATGCTCCGGTGCCACTTTGAATTGCAGAAGATATTAAGGCATGACCTGAATATAACTAAAAACAGAGTTCATCTTCCTCCCTTCTTGTGCTCCACTCAAATTTAGGGTGAGGGTCGCCCAACAGGGTCTAGGGTCTCTATAACAGGCTTTGGTTTGGCCACCATCACTGCCTCCACCAAGAGTCCTGCTCAGGGCCTCTGCCGCCAGGAGCACCACACCAGTCCTACCAAGCTGTCGTTGTTGCAACCGCTGCTTCCGTTGATGCCAGGTCACTGAAAGTAAGCATGCAGATGCAGCAGACAGTGAAGAAGGCAAATGGCATGTTGGTCTTCATAGAAAGAGGATTTGAGTACAGAAGCAGGGATGTCTTGTTGCAATTGTACAGGGCCTTGATGAGACCACACCCAGAGTACTGTGCGCAGCTTTGATCTCCTTAACTGAGGAGGGCATTTTGCTGTTGAGGGAGGGTAACCAAAGAGTATGGGGAGAAAATGGGAACAGGGTACTCAGTTGGACAATCAGCCATGATCATACTGAATGGTGGAGCGGGCTTGAACTTTCTATGTTTCTTCTCAACCTCTCCTCATAAAACAATCCCTCCGTATCCAGGATCAAGCTAGCAAATAGTCTTTGGACTGCCTCCAATGCCAGTATATCTTTAAGATAAAGGAACAAAACTGTTCATAATATTCTTGGTGTGGTCTAATTAATGCCTTGCATTGTTTTAGTATAACCTCCTTATGTTTATATTCCAGTCCCTCGGAAATAAAGGCCAATATTTCATTTGCCTTCATTGCTACATACTGAACTTGTGGGCTAGACTTTTGTGATTTATGCACAATGTTGTGGCTTTTGGTTGTCTTTCTCAATTTAAATAATAATTCTTGGCAGGGGGATTGAGTTTAAGAGCCACGAGGTTATGCTGCAGCTCCATAAAACCCTGGTTAGACCACACTTGGAATATTGTGTTCAGTTCTGGTTGCCTCATTATAGGAAGGATGTGGAAGCTTTAGAGAGGGTGCAGAGGTGCTTGGAATGGAGGGCAGGTCTTATGAGGAAAGGTTAAGGGAGCTAGGGCTTTTCTCATTGGAGCAAAGAAGGATGAGAGGTGACTTGATAGAGGTGTACAAGATGATGAGAGGCATACATAGAGTGGATAGCCAGAGACTTGTTCCCAGGGCAGAAATGACTATCACGAGGGGACATAATTTTAAGATGACTGGAGGAAGGTATAGGGGAGATGTCA